AAGAAAGAAAGAAAGAAAGAAAGAAAGAAAGAAAGAAAATACAGACGATGCACAAAATGGATGCAGGTGTGGCAGAAACGGTGACCTGGGAAGATAAGGATATTAAAATAGTTCTAAGGACCCAACAGATGAGTCCTTGTCCCCCTTGCCCACGTCTGAGTTTAAAAAGCACACGTAACATACAGCTTTCTCTTTATTTCAACTAATGGAACAACAACAAAAAACTAGTTCAACCCGAGTTCCATCTCGGAACACAAAATACTAATAAATTCTACCTTCCCCGAAAATGACATAAATAACTCCTCATGAGCAGAGTACGGTCAAGAGTAGTAAAAAGCCCATGCAAGAGCTCACACACACAGATATGCTCGGAGACTCCAGGAAAAATAACAGACGGTAACTCACTTTCTTAATGGCGACAATTTGGTTGGTGTTCTTGTCTCTGGCCTTGTAAACCGTGGCAAACTAGAGAGAAAAGCAGAAACAATCTAAGTTCGTGGGAGCTCTTTTGTGTTTGCCTTTTCACTTTTTCAGATCCGGAGAAGCAAACACCCCACGGCTGTTGAAGATGCGCGGCTGCTTGAAACGTGGCGAGGCGATAAACTGCCCGTTCCAGTCTATTCTTCAGAAAGGGAGGACCACTCGGGAGCTCTCCTCTAGGGTACACACACGGGCAGACTCGCCCAAAAAGAAGGAGAAGCCAGGCCAATCCTCTGACTTCCACCAGAAAACGTGCGAGTGTGTCAGGCGGCTCCGCGCTCTCGGCTCAGGCCCCCCCGAATCCCGCCCGGGAACCTCACCTGTCCCTCCCCGAGGAAGTCCAGTTTTTCATAACGCTTTGCTCGCGACTTCACGTCCACCGCCATCCGTCGCACGAAACACGACTCCAACTGTAAAAGGCGAGCTCCCGAGACAGCAGGAATTTAAAGCTACCTTAGAGCCTCCAACAGCCACTTCCGTTGACGGAGAGCCGACGCTTTACTAGCTCCGCCCCTACTTCCGGTTTGAGCTGGATGCTGCTAAGTCCAGCCAGAGCTTCCTCTACGGAAGCGGCGCGAGTCAGCCCTGTTGGCGTTTCTGCGTGGTCCGCGCCGCGTCTCGCTATAGCCTGCTGGTCCCGGAAGCGGAATGTTTTAGGTGGTGACTGTAACCCTGTAACCCTGTACGATTTTAAGTTAGCTATTTCCTTCACTACCGGAGACAGGTCAGCGTTCTGCTACGATGTTTGAGTTCGGGGCTTAATGTATGAGTGTGGAAGGCTTGACCTCTTTATTCCGAATCTCGCTTTCTGGTAACTGCGCAAGGGCGTCAGGGCGCCACGGTTGCTATGGACGCCTATCGTCGCAATCTCAGGTTACTTAGAAGAGAACCCAGTTCCTTAGGGCTGGCCAAGTGGCGTTCTTAGTTCAGTCCTTTGTAAAGAAGCACTACCGGGAGAAAAAATTCCAAGTCAGCTGAAGAATTTTGTACTGTGGAACAGACATCTGATCATCGGTTTTCTACTTTGTAGAATGGAAATAGGCTACATCATAAGTGGTTTTGAAGAGTAAATCAGATATCCAGAAAGTTTAGACATAGTAGGTACTTGTTAACTGTGAGCAGTACTCAACCTTGATTCGCATAAGTTTTCAACACATTAATTCACTATTCAGCGAATGTATATTGAGTGCTGACTATGTGCCAGGCTCTGAGAAATCAGGAGGGAAAAAGACAAGGAACCATGCTTTCCAATGGAAGGGGATAAAATACGGTACTCAGAATTCAGCGCTATAGAGATAATAAAGCAGGAAAAGGGATATAGTAGGGCTTGCAGTTTTAAATAGGTGTTAAAAGGGGAGCCTGGGTGGCTCAGTCGGTTAAGCGTGCGACTTCGGCTCAGGTCGTCATCTCTCAGTCCGTGAGTTTGAGCCCCACGTCGGGCTCTGGGCTGATGGCTCAGAGCCTGGAGCTTGCTTCCAATTCTGTGTCTCCCGCTCTCTCTGCCCCTCCCCCGTTCATGCTCTGTCTCTCTCTGTCTCAAAAATAAATTAAATAAATAAATAAATAAATAAAAGACATCACTGAAAAGACACTGCCAAAAAAAAAAAAAAAAAAAAAAAAAAGCCACTGTAGAGTTTTCAGCAAAGTAATGTGATCTGATTGCTTTAAAGTTCACTATGGCCCTTTACATTGACAGCAGTATAGACTTAAAGGGGCAAGAAAAAAATCAAGGCCTGTGAAAGAATTATTGCAGTAAGCTATGTAAGGTGGTATCATTTTGGCTTCTAGCCAATAAGATTTACTGACAGACTGGATATGGGTTGTGGGGGGAGGGAAAACAAAACAGGAATTCCAAGGTTTTGAGCTGGAGCATTTGTTGTTTCTAAGAGTTGCGAATATTCAGAGTTGAAAAAGGCAGCAGAATACCAACACTCATAATTTAGTCAAGGTAATGTAAAGGTTGAGTTCTTGCTCTGGATCTAGACTGCCTGCATTTGAGTACTGGCCCCACAAATATTCAATCACTAGATTTATTACTTGGGCAAAGTATTTACCTTTTGGTTCCTAGTTTCCAACTATTCATTGGGTTGCTGCAAGTCTTAAGTGACTTCACATTTCCAAAACCCTTAGAATAGGGTCTGACAGTGCTGTTTGTCATTGCGTAACTATTACTGGTCTCCTTCCAGCTCTTTGTCACTTGGGTTTTTATTGAGCTCTGATATGTTCATAGGCAAACTTCTCATACATTACACAAACACACCATCTTTACCATTGTCTCTTAATTGTGTCAAGTCATACCTAATAATATATGGGAATCACAGAATTTAAAGTTCCCTCGGGGCGCCTGGGTGGCGCAGTCGGTTAAGCGTCCGACTTCAGCCAGGTCACGATCCCGCGGTCCGTGAGTTCGAGCCCCGCGTCAGGCTCTGGGCTGATGGCTCGGAGCCTGGAGCCTGTTTCCGATTCTGTGTCTCCCTCTCTCTCTGCCCCTCCCCCGTTCATGCTCTGTCTCTCTCTGTCCCAAAAATAAATAAAAAACGTTGAAAAAAAAAAAATTAAAAAAAAAAAATAAAGTTCCCTCAAAGTTCCCTCACTTTAATAGTAATTTAACCTCACTTGTAGTAGCAATAAGCTAAGTAGTGAGCTAAATGTGATGATACACCTGTGAGGCTAGAGGCTCCGAAGTATATCATGGCATATGAATTGATGATCACATTATACTATGCTGTTGACAAGTTAATTCCTATCTGGGGACATTTTAAGTAGGGTAAAAAGGCAGTTGTTTAGGTCATATTCTGGGTTCATTAGGTCACTGTATGCATAAAATACCTTTTGTCATCTGTATAGCATTATACGGTTTAGAAAGCACTTGTACCCATTAGCAATAGCCAGCTTTCATGGTGGCCCCAATCAATCTTCCATTCTGTATCAATGCGCTTGTGCAGTCTCCTCTGACAGTGAAACAGGCTGTTCTGTGTGACCTGTAGAATATGACAGAAGTGAGTGTTGTAACTTTTCAGTCTGGATCATAAAAGGCATTGCTCTGCCTGCCTTGCAAGCATAGATCATTTGCTCTGGGGTAAGTCAGCCACCGTATCATGAATTCAATCAGGTAGCCCTGTGAAGAGGCCTATGTGGGGAAGAACTGGGGCCTCCCACCAACAGCCAGCATCAACTTGCCAGCCACGTGAATGAGCCACTGGAGGTAGATAATCTAGCTCCAGTCAAGCTTCCAGATAACCGCAGTCCTCGCTGGCATCTGATTGCAGCCTCGTGAGAGACACTGAGCACAACTGCCAAACCAAACGGTCCAGAATTCCAGACCCAGAGGAACCATGAGCTATTAGGTGATTATTGTTGTTTTTAGCCACTACATTTTGGGTGTTTAGTCATTAAGTTTTCAATTGCTACAAAGTAATACATAATACACTACTGTGATCCCGCCTATCACACTGTATAGTATTGGAGAGGAAAACTGAAAAACTTGAACAAATTCAGCAATTTGCTGATGGTTACACATTTTAAGTGCTTCACTCTGAAATGAAAATACAGGCTATTTAAAGCTAAGCCAGAATTCTTTCTATACTATCCTTGTTGGGAACTCATCCTGTGACACCAACTCCCACTGAATATGCCTTTTTGTCATACTTGTGTTCACAGATTCTATAAAAGTGATCTATTTTTTCACTGCAACTTTCATGGTAGGATCTGTAGTAAGGTGAACTTCAGACAGTTATAGTATGGGGTTCCTGACTGCTGGCCCACAGCAGTACACAAATCACTCTTCATTACTTGAACCCACTGTTTCTGAAAGCAAAAAAAAAAATTGTCCTTGGCTTCCTTTTACTGAAATGAAAAAATTACAGAGAGAAAAAAGAGAATGGTGATATTTTTTAACAAAACTTTCCAAACAGGTTTAAAAAAAAAAATCATGAATCATGTTATGAATCACCAGAATAGCTTATTGTTACCACCAAATACCAGTCTCATATTTAGGCCACAACCCTGGAATAGTAAAAAGAAAAAAAAAAGAAAAAGAAAAAGTAAAGCTTAATTGGCAGGCAACTGAGCGATACTCAACAATTTGACTCGGTCTATTGCCCACTAGCTACCCTTACTATTAAGGATGACTTCTTTAAAGCATATTCTAGAAATCATTCAAGGTATGGAAGAAAATTTATTTAGCTTTGTGAGGCTTTAGTTTCACAATAATACATACCCTTGGCATTGTAAGACCTTATTAAAGTTTCATAAATTGCCTTAATAAGGTAAATAGGTCGATTTTAAGAGGCTTTCAGACATTAAGTTTGAGAAAGTTAGTGGTTATCAGAATTTGCACACATGATGACAATCAAAACAGTAAAATAAATCAAAGAATAAGACTTTCTTAACACCCCTAATAACATAGTAAGTTGCAGTTTCTACTCAATGTTATATGTTTCTATGTTATATTCATTTTCTTCTGAATGTAGGTTACAAATAATCTTTTGTATTAACTCCCAGTTTTACTACCACAAAGTCACCTGTTTTACCTTGGCTGTATTTTTATTATTTAGTGTAGGGTATGGTTTTTAAACTAGTTATACTCCAGTAATTTTGTGAATGGAAAAATATAAAGAAAATTAAGAACAAATAATGGAGTCATTCTTTCACTGATCCTCATCCAACTTCAGGAAAATCACTTCCCAAAAGCAACAATTCTGATAAATCTTTCCATGTCTTAAAAAGAAACTGAGGGGCGCCTGGGTGGCTCAGTAGGGTAAACTCCTGACTCTTGATTTCGGCTCAGGTCATGATTTCATGGTCATGAGACTGAGCCCCACATCAGGCTCCACACTGAGCTTGGAGCCTGCTGAAGATTCTCTCCCTCTGCCACTCCCCCAGTTACGTATGTGCTGGGGAGGGAAGGGGAGGGGAGGGGAGGGGAGGGGAGGGAGGGAGGGAGGGAGGGAGGGAGGGAGGGAGGAAGGAAGGAAGGAAGGAAGGAAGGAAGGAAGGAAGGAAGGAAGGAAACTGAAACAAAAGTGAAATTATGGGAAACCTATGACAGTTTACTAGATATTGTGTGCTTTTAATAGCTCAACATTGATAATACTTGATAATCAAGAGTAAATTAATAGGCTACATTTAAAAATGTATACTTTAATAAGTATATAAACAATTAGGTAAGCTTGTGGAGAAGCTGACCAACATACATATATTAGGAGATACAAGTGTCCATCTAAATTTTCTATTTCATTTTTTTTAACAGAATATTTATTCAAGTTGTTTAATGTAGCTTCTCATGTGCCACTTTGGAAGTCCTTTATTGTAAAGACTATTCCTTTGATGGCAAACAGCAGCCACACTGTCAGTGACTATTCCGGACCTCCACGCTGAAAAGGAAAAAATAAAGCAAAAAGATTAGGTTTAAATTTACAGAAGAAATCTTTTCATGGACATTATATAAATTTACACCATTTTAAGCAAATGATCATCAGGTGTTCAATAACAATTTCGGTTTTTCATTGCTCTTAGGCACTTGTATCAATGTTGTAAACAATTTCTGATCAGGAAGGAACTCAAGGTTGACCTTGATTGGTGATGCTCAAATTTCTTGGCCTCATAAGCCCTTCACATTGAAAAATTACCAAGGACTCTACTGAGCTTTTTTTCATGTGGTTATAGCTATTGCTACTTAACATATTATACTTCTACATATATATTCCTTCAGGTACTTTTACTGAGGGCTTGTACATGGTTTATTTCTCATAACCCTGTGCTACCTATCTTGGTCTTAGCTATGGACC